GACTGGAATAGCCTTGCAACGTGGCTTGGGCTGTCCCAGGCTTGGAGCATTTGGGGTTTAGGGTTAGGGCTAGTTGCCACGGAAACTTATGTGAAAACTTTCTGAGTTCGACTGCAGCCCCAAAAGCTGTTGGCTGCCCACGTAGCCATTGCCTTGCCTCCTCTCCCTGGTGCGCATGGGCAGCAGCAATACGCAGCTCCAATTTAAATCCAGTCACAAGTGCCGATGATGCAACTTTGCCGTACTGGAAAACCAGGGCCTTCAGTTTTCCTGGCTGTACCGGCTCCCACAATTTGAGGTTATGGGCCATGGAAGCATCGCAAGCAGCAGCGGCAGAACACGTGAACGGGGCACATGAGCTGTTCGCTTCCCAACATCCCGGCTGGAGCGGGTTGCTGACCAAGCGAGTCTGCCCGCCCGGTTTCAAAAAATCTGGGGCTGGGTGCGTGCATCCGCGCAGGTCGTCTGGCAAGTGTCGACTGGCGGGCTCTCGGATGCACGAAGTCTCGCCCTCGTTCATCTGGATCTGAAGCATCACTGCGTCATCCCCGGTGGTGCATTTTGCGGCCTGGCCCACCTGGTGGCGAAACCAGCAAACGAGGAAAAGTCGCCTCACAAAAGGGCGCGGCTTGGGGGTTGAGTGGTACGAAGTGGGGATGATGTCATGACTTCGCTCAAGAAGAACACCGGTCTTTGCTCAACAATAGTTAACCGCAGAAATCCGACCCCCCTCCCGCCCCCACTTAAGGCCGTTTAGAAGGTATTTGAAACAAGCTTCCTGCTCAGGAAATTTGGATGGGCGATAGAGCCGAGTGTAACTTCCACATGAACGCTCCGCGCTGGCTTGCAACGAACAAACATGAGCTTACCCCAAACTGCGCAAGACTGCGAGAATGGAACCCCAGACAATATGTCTGTCGGCATCGACCGCCTGTGCAACACATACCTCAGAGGCACTGCGCACCCCCCAAACTGACACACGGTGCTACAGGCGAAGTCCGGGGCAAACATGGCGAACCAGCAGCGCGTTTTTGACACGAGCAAGGTTTGTAAAAACAAAAAATATTTATTCAACACTATCTCCACACATGTTACAAGAAGAGCGGAGTATGTATTAAACACGCAAAAATTTATTTAAAAAAACAACTAGTTGTGCGCAACCATTCTTGGAACCAACTTGTTGTGCCTGATGCCTCACTCCGTCCCCCGCTCAGTCTGCCACTACTGCCGACAAAGTTCTGGAATGCAAAATCATCGTACCTAGTAAAGGGAATTCTTGCTTGTGGCAAAGACCTTAGGAAGTGGGATACCGCTACGGAGACGCACCTTTGCAAAACCGCTCGAAACATGACGGCTGAAACTCCCTTGCTCATGCTCCCCAGAAGGAGCCTCGACTAACACAGCGCCTTTTAAAGACCCAGGGTGGGGGAGAGGGGTCGGATTTGGCTGGTGAATAGTGTTTGGTGAGTTGCCTGGCGTTCCAAAACGTTGAAGGAAGTACATTCAGAACTGTGCGAACTACATGGCTTGGACTGGGGGAGAGGAGGGAGGGAGGGGGCGGGGTGGGTGATGGGGAGGGAATTGGGTCCTATCCCGCGGCTTCTACCCTTTTGCCCCTGCAAAAGCAAGTACGAGCTTTACCAGGTCCCCCAGCCAACATCCTTGCCCGTGATGCCAGGTCCGTCTTCGGCCTGGCGATCCCTTGTACATCGGACGCTTCATCTGTGGCGACAAGGGACAGGACTTCCAGTCCCTGCCAAAGGCCGGGGAGCAACGAAAGCTTCAACTGACTGGATCCCTTGCGGCTCTGAGGAATGCCCACATATGAGATGACACTCAGGAGTCCACCGAGTGGTCACCCGGGATGCCCCAACAAAGGTTCAAGTCTGGCAGTTTGGCAATGGAACATAAGGATTCTCAGCATCTCATGCCATAACTTGGCGATGAGTTTGTGAATCTTGGAGTTTACGCTCTGGATGCGGGCATCAAGATTGAACGGCGCGGGGTCTCCACCAATGGGTCCTATCCCACCTCCTACGCCACACACTTCAGAACAACGGGCCTTGCCAAGGAATCAAGGGGCTATCAGGAGTCGAGCGCATTCTCTGAAGATCTTTACAAAGGTGAAGCGCATGGTGAATAACTTGGCCAAGTTTGTCATTAGCCAAAACGATGCAGAAATGAGTGGAGGTCACTGCCAGATCAGCAGCGGCAGGCCATGTCGGAGGTGAAGAGCCTGCAGACTCAACTCTGGCTCCAGACTCAGGTGGCCCGAGCTGTTGGTGAGAAGGCGCCAGCCCATCGCGCCAGCAGATGTCAAGACAGCCCAAAAGGCGGTCGAGCTCAAAGGGTCAGCATATGGCCATGCGCAAGCGCCTCGAGAGTGGTACACAGGAAATCGATGTGCACAAAACCATTCGTCGCCTGGGAGCTGAAGCATGTCGTCCTGATCCTCGAGATCCCTATACGCGTATCCAATAATAATCCACGTCCTTCTTAAAGTGCCGACAGTTACGAGGATGGGTAAACCATGGTAAGCCCCAAAGCTGGGGGTGGAGGGTGAGGGTGGGGTCGCGGGTGGGGCAATGGGGCTCATGCAGCGCCAGCTCCCCGCCGCAAAGCCTTCAAGGACGATGACAGAGGCAGAGCTGAGTCGGGCTAGCACCGTGCTGGTCGATCCAATGGCGTTTGGCTCAGTCGGCAAGCTCGGCTAAGTCCAGAGTTTTATTGGGCTCACTCTCACAGCTGAGAGCCAAGCTGGGTCTTTGGCTGAGCAGGTGCCTACTCTCCTGGCGAGAACTCCTCTAAGTCCTGCTGAAGACCAAAGCCTACTTGGTCATCGATGCCGCAGAGGTCCGAAGGGTCTACGATGCAGCCATGCTAAGCGCCGATGTCTCTTCGCGACATGATGGGCGTGGTTGCTCGAATGGTGCGGCTCAGATCATGAGCTGGCGAATGGATTGACCAAGGTTGTCCTGGTGACTCAGCCTCCCATTCCCACGGAAGTACTTTTGCGGGTTTCTTGGCGGGATTTTCCGCTGTGTTCTTGGGGGTGTGCACTATAGGGACACTCTGCGAGATTCTCGTCAAGATTCTCTGTTAGGGTGGCACTCCAGGGAAAATATTGCAGGATTCTTGGTGGATTCGGGAGCAAGGAGTAAAGGAGACCCGGCAAGGATAAAATAGCAAAACGATGGAACTTTTCTTCAACCCTAGCCCTACAATGTCTAAACCCGTCAAGGCTGTATCAGTCTTCTGCTTTGCACGCCAAGTCGCCAGTGCAGCACCATTGCTGGTTCGGTAAGCAGCGCAGACACACAGTAAGCCAAAAAGGCTTCGGTCGATAGGGCATAATCCGCCGAGGCCTCGGGGCGTAGGTGTATCGGGAGCACAAAGCAGGCAACCCTAATCCCCTCCCCAACACCCACCCCTTTATTGGTTCCTTTTTGGCCTGTGACGCCCCTCTCGCTAGCACCGCCGCTGTGCGGCCGAGGTCGCGTAGCGTCATCTCAGCGAAAATCAATGCGTTTCGCCAAGCTATGCCTTCACTCTTGCACCAGCGCTAGAAAACCGCCAAAAGAACTACCAGCAGAACCAGCCGCCGAGCACGCAGAGCAAACGATTTTCTTCTTGCCATCTCGGTTTGGAAACGGGCCTGCGCCCTCAAACATGAAACAAAAAACGAAGAAGCGACGGTCGACCATTCTCCGGCCGCGGTTGAGCAGTCCACAAAGCCAGTCAGGAGGGGGTCGGCGTCATGGGTTTGGGTTGGGGTCTGGGTGTTTGGACCTCAGCGAATCCCAAACTCAACTTCAAGTTCGAAGGTCCAGAACACAGGGAACCCCACCCGGACTTCCAACTCGTCTTCGTGCTACCTCAAGATGAAAGGCCAACAACCCCAGTGGTTTATGACCCGAAGCCCAAACCAAAGCCTTGCGAAACCCGAAACCCCCAAACTTCATGCAATCACAGCCCGACCCCCGAATCCTAGAGAGGCCTGGAGCCCGAAGCCTCAACTACCAAATCTACCAAATCCAGCTAGGGGGCGCAGGCATTGATGAAAGAAATCCGAGGCTTCCCGCCTGAGTCGCCACTCAGGAAGCAAAGTTGAGAGTTTGAGTATTTATGCCAATTACATGCGAAACCGGAAAGGCGTGTGAGCCCCCCAAAATCCTCACGCTCCGAGGACCCTTGGTTGCCTGGAACAAGGACAAGGCCGATCCAGGGTCGATTTGCTTGGGAAGTGCCAGCAGCTCATGGACCATGTCCTGCTCGTGGCAGCTGCCTTCCAGAAGGCACAGGGAGCTTAGGGGCACTCTGGCCGTCCAGCAACTTTGACCACGCCCAAACTTGTGGAGTCGGGCATGCTGACCCAACACTCGGACCGCAACATGGAATTGCTGAGCATCTGTGCACGATGTGCCAAGTAACTGGCTTTTGGAGGTTCTTTAAGCCCTGATCCCTGGCCTGCCTGCCTTTCTACCTCCGCAACAAATCTGGCATGCAGCGCCCTAGGTGGAGTAGCAGGCCAGAGACACACGTGCAACCACTGAGCATTCTGCAGCGGAATACGTGAGAAGATTGAAACAACACACATCCAAACAGCTTGATGTCAAGTTGCCCTTGCCCGGACTTGGAGACTTGAGAACTTGCGCAGAAATGCCCCGTCTTCGTGATCGAAGAGTGACCTCCCATGGCAAGCTTCCGGGCTGTCAGGAAAGAAATCCACGGCTTCTCCGACGGCTTATTGCAAAGGTCTAGAGTCGAGGGCGTTGCACATGCGTTGCACTTACTGCGCTCAAGGTGTGGCCCGTCTTTGGTTGTGGCTTCGGTCTTTCCAGCTTTGCAGGCGCTCTTGCTCCACAATCTGGGTTTTCAAAAATGCAGACCATGTCCTCGATCCCTTGAAGATCGGGAAACTCGGGGAACAGCTCGCGAGCAGGGTCGAAGCTCGTTGTGTTCTTCGACCCAACAGTTCTCAACCGCATCTCTCCTGCGATTCACTTGCGCTTCACATGCGCTAAGGCTGCGTCCAGAGCTTGGTCAAAACCTGCCAAATCGACTCTCATGAAGTCACTCACCTCGTCGGAAACGCTCTGCGTCAGGACATGGAAATATTTCCTTGGCTGCACAGGCTTCTTGTGTAATTAAGCCTGGAACAACATTGATTTATTCGCCTCCCACCTCGGCCGTTGCAAATTCCCTGGAAATCCCCCGCACCCCCCCCCCCCCCCCCCCCCCCCACGAGGTTTTCGAATGGAGACCCGAAATATCCCACGCTTCCTCGGGTACGAAACTCGCAATACACACACACACACACAAACACACACACACACACACACACACACACAAACACACACAGACACACACACACACACACACACACAAACACACACAAACACACACAAACACACACAAACACACACAAACACACACAAACACACACAAACACACACAAACACACACAAACACACAATAACACCCAGAAACACACAGAAACACACAGACACACACACACACACACACACACACACACACACACACACACACCCACACCCACACCCACACCCACACACACACACACACACACACACACACACACACACACACACACACACACACACACACACACACACACACACACACACACACACACACACACACTCCCCACCCCACGGGAATAAATTCATCGCAATTAGCGCCCCCACCACACTCCCCACCCCCTTGCGGCTATCTTAGTGACTATCGGAGGAAATGCAAATGAAGCCTTCGTCTTATCTACTCTGCCGCACCATCGAAACTGCTTCGGCATTCTACTCGCCCAGCGTCACCCAGGAAATTCCAGCATGCAGCTGGAAATAGGTGTCAAAGCGCACCCCGGTCACATTTGGCTTAAAGCAACCTCTTGCCTGGAGGGAGTGAGCACCACAAACGAACTCGATTGCTGCTGCAGGTACTTCGCAGGGCATCCAAAGGATGTTCGAGAAAGCCGTACCATGAGAGCCGAAGACTAGGATGGCAGAATTGAAGCGTTGATACTGCTCTTTGAACGTAGCAGTGGTTTTTCCATCTGATGTCCCATCGAAGATAGCCACTTCCGACGGCATTCCATGTCGGTGAAGTGCGCTCTGAGCAGTCTGCACAACCTCCTGGGAATGCTCATCTGTCAAGAGACGGCCGTGAGACGCTGTAGAAGGCAACCGTTTTACGTACACTGTGCTTGTCGCCTCGTAAGTAGGCTGCACCTTGGCAATGTGGCGTCGCAAGTTGTTCACCAGAGTGGGAATACGAAATTTGTGTGGTGATGGAGCCTCTCGTGGAACCACCACCCACAGCGCTGCGGCACACACCACGTCGCCAGCGCGCACAAAAGTGGTCCTTTTGTGCAGATCTGGATCAAGCCATTGTATGAAGGACTGGATCTTCGAATCTTGGTCCAATTCCAGAAACACCCGTGCCTTTGGGCGCGAAGTGCTCATCCAAGTTAGCATCGGCAGCAAATCATGTAGAACATGCCCGTACTGGAAATTCTTGAAGAAGAACCCGCTGAAAAAGATCACCTCGTCTGGCACCGTCTCTGAACAAGCCTGCAATGGCTCTTCTGCCGTAGGTGGCAGATACCAGCCAGATTCGGACAGGTCAACGCTGTGCGGAGCCAGCCTAACTTGCCACTCACCATGGTTCGCGTCTGCGGGGGGGGGGGGTACCAGAAACGCGCATTGTGCAAATACTGGACATCGAAGGCACCATCGAAAGGCTTCGCGAGAATATTTTCCCACTTCATCATTTTCTGCTTCCAATAAAGGTTGCTGTCGGAAACGTTGGCACCACTTCCTAAGCACAGCGTCACCTTGCCAACCGCGTTAAGGGCAGGACACTTGCCAGTCTGGTTGCCCCTGCTGGGACTTGGAGGCTTGACAGCCTGCGATACTGCCTGCAAAAATGCCCCGTCTTCGTGATCGAAGCATGACCTCCCACGGCAAGCCTCTGGGCTGTCAGAAAAGAAATCCACGGCTTCTCCGACGGCTTCTCCCAATGCCAGGAACGATGCACCTGAGCTGCTGGCTGGCCCGAAAAACAGGTTTCTACAGATATTTATAGGAGGAGTAGCTACTGGGCCACTCAATTCCTGAAGCGGGCTTCAGCCCAAGAATTCTCTCATTCGAGGATCCTGATGCTTGGAATCCTTTCCTAGACTACACGGACAGCTGTCGAAATCCTGCTGAAGGGGCTACGCATATGCAGCACTTGACCGGAGTAAGATGCCGAGCTTCTGAACCCGATACGCGCCCAAAACTGTCTCAACTCTACGGTTTACCTTCCATCAGCTCTGATCATGCCAAGTCCAGCCCTCTTGATAGCTCGAGGCACAAAGAAATAGGATCGGGCACCACATGGCAAGAGCAAGGACGCTGAATGGAATACCTACTGTTCAGTTCGGTTTGAGAGCTAGCACCACCGGGCCGTCAGCTCACAACACTCCCTCGCATGCCACGGGCTTGTGGCTCATGCACTGTCGGCCTGCTTCACCGAGCTGTCCAAGATCGCAGTGTCTTTGGCAAAGCCACGCCTGGCAGAAGGGGTCCCATAGCAGCTTTGAAATCGAACCCATTAAGCATCTTGCACCTTGCCCGCAAGCGTAACGCCGATGCCCCGCCCCATTTTCTGGAAACATGATTTACAAGGTCGGAGGAGCACAAGAGATTTCTATCTACCCCCCCCCAGCCGCCCCCTGACTCCGCCGACCCTAAGGGCCCTACCCCCCCCAACCCCCACCCACCTTTGTCCTGACCAAAATTGTTGTGTTGTAAGGGGTGGAATGCACGTACGTCCTGACCGCCCTCACCGCCCCCTGACCCTGACCCGAAAATCCTGAAATCTAGGTTGGATACCCTCCAGACCAAAACCCCACCACCCTACCCCCACCCCCCCCTACTATTTTACTATTGTTACGCGAAATCGGGAGTTTGCATCTCGAAAACCCACCTGTGCCGGTTGGACCCAGAATTTACCACTTTACTGATTTCGCGCGATATCCGGAGAAAATTCCTCTTTCTCTCTTTACTCTTAATAGGATTTCCTCCACGGCCTCAGCAGTTTGCATCTCGAAAACTCGCCTGTGCCGGTTGGACCCAGATTTTACTATTTTGCTATTTTACTAATTTACTAATTTTACGCGAAATCGGGAGTTTGCATCTCGAAAACCCACCTGTGCCGGTTGGACCCAGATTTTACCACTTTACTGATTTCGCGCGAAATCCAGAAAAAATTCCTCCTTCTCTCTTTACTTTTAATCGGATTTCCTCCACGGCCTCACCCCCCCACCCCTCACCGCCCCCACCTGCCTCGCCCTACCCCACCCTACCCCCACCCCCAAGACCTCCAGCACATACCCGCCCCCACCTCTGGGGTCGGCGGCACTGGCGGTAGCCGTTAAATCGGGCAGCGCGAGGTCCCCAAAGGACCGAGCAAATGCGGACCTTTTAGCCCGGGTCGTCCCGGGAATAGCCTTGCTGGCCTCTGGCCTTCTGCGAAGCAGAATTAGGCCGGACGCCAGTGCCGCCGACCCCCGCGTGCCGCCGGTGAACGGTTTTTTTTTCGTGGTTTTTTGCGTCGCCACGGAGGCCCCCAGAGGGCGCGCATCATGAGCATCAGCGGGTCCAGCCCGGGACCCCCAGGCGCGCATCAGGAGCATCAGCGGCTCCCGGGGTGGGACCCCGGGGGCGCATCAGGAGCATGATGCCCCCCAAAGGGCGGGCATAAGCGACGTGTCTAAGCCCGGGGCTAGGAAAAGGGGAGTTTAGGGGCCTTATAAAGTGCTTAGAAACGTTAAGGGAGTCTAGGAGCCTCAAACGCTTAGAGATTTGAAGGGAGTTTAGGGGCCTGAAAATGCTTAAAAACTTAACGCTTAGAGATTTTAAGGGAGTTTAGGGGCCTCAACATGCTTAGAAACTGCTCGCCCCGGGCTTCTGCGTGCGCTGCCCGCCCATGGGCGCAGCCCCTTAAAATCGGGCAGCGCGAGGTCCCCAAAGGACCGAGCAAATGCGGACCTTTTAACCCGGGTCGTCCCGGGAATAGCCTTGCTGGCCTCTGGCCTTCTGCGAAGCAGAATTAGGCCGGACGCCAGTGCCGCCGACCCCTGCGTGGTTTTTTTTTTTTTTTTTCGTGGTTTTTTTGCGTCGCCACGGAGGCCCTCAGAGGGCGCGCATCATGAGCATCAGCGGGTCCAGCCCGGGACCCCCAGGCGCGCATCAGGAGCATCAGCGGCTCCCGGGGCAGGACCCCGGGGGCGCATGATGCCCCCCAAAGGGCGGGCATAAGCGACGTGTCTAAGCCCCGGGCTAGGAAAAAGGGAGTTTAGGGGCCTTATAAAGTGCTTAGAAACATTAAGGGAGTCTAGGAGCCTCAAACGCTTAGAGATTTGAAGGGAGTTTAGGGGCCTGAAAATGCTTAGAAACTTAACGCTTAGAGATTTTAAGGGAGTTTAGGGGCCTAAAGCGCTAGCTTTAAGGGGCGAGCGCCCGAGCCGCCGACCCCGCCCAAAATTGCTTCATATTCGCGCGGGGCCCTTCGGGAGGCCTCCAAAACGGCATCCAAGGGGACGCAACACGCGGTGGTGCGAAAAGCACGAAAACCTCGTAAAAACCATGGGTTTTTTACGAAAAACCGAGGCCACAAAACACCCGCAGCACCCCATTAAACCCTCACAGGCGCGCATCATCGACCCTAGCCTTTCACATGGGGCGCGCGCCAGGCCGAAACCACGTTTTTCAAGGTTTGGGGGGGGGGGGTACCAGAAGCCCAAAACCAGGCGAGCATCATGAGCATCAGCAGCCCTGGCCCGCGGCCCCAAGGCAGTAAAAAACGCTGAAATCACCGTAAATACCGTGTTTTTATGAGGTTTTTCATGCGTGCCTCCGACCCCCACCCTTGTTGCCCTTGACCCGCCCCCAAAGATCGCATCATCGAAACCCATGTCCGGGGGGGGGGTCTGCTGATGCTGCTGATGCGCGGGGGTCTGGGCGCATCATCCAGCCATCGTTTCTCATGGGCTTCGTGGGCCTCCGGGCCCACGGCCCAGAGACCCAGCTGATGCTCATGATGCTTGTTTTGGGGGGGGGTTCCAACAGCAGAAAACCTCGTAAATACCGAGTGTTTTGTGGGTCCACGTAAAAACGCCCCTAAAATCGCTCATTTTACGCGCTCGAACGGCTTCGTGCCTACAAAACACCCGAACAGCAGGACCCCGAATGCCCTTAAGGGCATTCGGGGTCTTGCTTTTGGGGGTTTCGTGGGCACGCAAGCGTTCAAGCACATACAATCGGCGTGTTTAAGGGGGTTTTGGATGGCCTGGCAAAGGCCGCTGATGCTCATGATGCTCCCTTTCCTGGGCCCCAAAAAGGCTTCCCAAGCCAAAAAACACGCGTTTACAGCGTTTTCTGAAGGTTTTTCGAAGGCAAAACGCATGCATAGAATGCTTTTAAGGCCCCCAAACCAACCCCACTGATGCTCCTGACGCGGGCGCGCGCGCGCGCGTGCGCGCGCGCGGGGGGGGGGGGGGGGGGGGGGGGGGGGGGGGGGGTGGGGGGGAGGGAGGGGGGGGGGGGGGGGGGGGCGGGGGGGGGGGGGGAGGGGGGGGGGGGGGGAGGGGGGGGTGGGGGAGGGGGGGGGGGAGGGGGGGGGGGGGAAGGCAGGAGAAAGAGAGACAGAGAGAAGGAGAGGACAAAGACACGGGAAAGAGAAGACAGTGCCGAGGTTCAAGGTTTCGTGCTTTGGGGGGCGGGGGCCGGCCCGTGTCGCTAGGCCTGAAATCGGGCAGCGCGAGGTCCCCAAGGACGAGCATTGAGCATTGGCGGACCTTTTAGGCCGGGTCGTCCCGGCAATAGCCTTGCCAGCCTTCCGCCTTCTGCGAAGCAGAATTCGGCCGGACGCCAGTGCCGCCGACCCCTGTCTGCCTCCGGTGAACGGTTTTTTTTTTCGTGGTTTTTTGCAGGGCTGCAGAGGGTGCGCATCATGAGCATCACCGGGTCCAGCCCAAGCCCGGGACCCCCAGGCGCGCATCAGGAGCATCAGCGGCTCCCGGGGCGGGACCCCGGGGGCGCATCAGGAGCATGATGCCCCCCAAAGGGCGGGCATAAGCGACGTGTCTAAGGGAGCTTAGGGACCTTGTAAAGTGCTTAGAAACTTTAAGGGAGTCTAGGAGCCTCAAACGCTTAGAGATTTGAAGGGAGTTTAGGGGCCTGAAAATGCTTAGAAACTTTAAGGGAGTTCAGGAGCCTCAAACGCTTAGAGATTTTAAGGGAGTTTAGGGGCCTCAAAATGCCTAGAAACTTCAAGGGAGTTTAGGAGCGGCAGCTGGCTGCTGGGCGAACCTCCTGCGGACTATATACTTGTTCACACGGGTTGGGCTGGAAAGTTTTTTTTTTTTTTTTTTGGGGGGGGGGGGGGGGTCGGTAGGTGGTACTATGCAATGTTGGGTTCGTGGTCTTTCGGGGCTTTATGGATTCACTGTTTCAACCAGTACGTATTCGAGGTGGGTCGGGGGGCAGGGGTCGCATGTATATATATATATATACATATACATATACATATACATACTCATACACATATACACACACGCGCACCTTTTTTCCTTCTTTAACAAATAGTACTGTTCCAGGAGATGCTTTAAACTAATTCGTATCATTCTGTCAATCAGCACTAGTTTTGTACCTTCTATACAGTAATGTTGGGCTGGCTTTAGTATAAGGAGGGTCTATAATCACAAGTTTCGAAAATTTGTTCTGCGAACCGAGTTTGTTCAGGGTACCCGTTATTCTCACAAGTTTTTTTCCGGACCTTGTTTTTTAAGGTTTTTTTTTTGGGTTCAGGGCTTCCGCAGTAAGGCTTGAAGCCTTGAGGGTCTTGGGCTCCAGGAATCTTAAAGAGCCAGAGCGCGGAGAACCCAGAAATCTAATCCCGGCCAGTTCCCTGTAAAGCCTCATGGAAATTCATTACGAAACGAGGCCCCAAACAAATTTTGTGATAGGTAGCCCACGGGCCGGTCAGGCTGTCTTTAGTAAGTTTGTCTGGCTACCCTCTATAATAGCAAGTCTTTTTCGGATGAGTTTTTTTTAAGAGTTTGTGTTTAAGTTTAAGGTTAAGGGCTTACGCAGCAAGGCTTGAGGCCCTGAGGGCCTTGGGCTCCAGGAATCTTAAGGGCTGGAAAGCTTCAGGCCTTGAGGTTCTAAAGGCTTGAGGCCCTGATGGCGGTTCCCCCCCCCACCCCCCCCTCTTCCCCAATGTGTTTGGGGGGGGTCGCCGCGCCATGCGTTTATAGAGGGTCCCAAATTTGTTTTGGGGGGGGGGGGGGGGGGAAGGTCCCCCATACCATACTAAAGACAGTGCAACATTAAGGTTTACTCTCGTAAGGCGGTAGCTTTGGCCAGTGCATTATCGTAAAGATTGGTATGGCAAGTGCTCACAGACAGCTTATAGAAGTTGCACAATGATAGCATCACGCGCTATCATGTTATAGTGATGTTCGCTTACGAGGGGCTTAACATAATGATTGTTCCTTGTAGTCCTGCTTGTGATGACTTCTCATATGGTTACTGGCTAGAACAGGATAACCTATCACAAAATGACACTCTGAAAAAATGACAAACCGCGCGCTATCCGATATCATCATGTGAAAGTACAACATGCAATACGAGCCCTTGGCGTGACAGCATGCGCAAGCTAGCAATCTTACTAAGTCAAGACGCCATCGCGTGAAATACCATTTTGACAGCACGTGCGTACCCTTCCCCAAGCTGATGTCCAAGCCGCACATCGTGCCAAATCCGACCATTTGGCGCAAGCCTCGGAGCCGCATGTTCGCAGTCAGCTAAGAACGAGAAGGGTGCCCTTCTTGTCTACAGGAACCGAGCAGAAACGAAATCAAGAAAAACAAAAAACGGGCACCACTAGAGGTAAGTTTCGGTTTGACATGCTGGCGCGTCGGCGTGCAGTGAAGAGGAGGCGCAGGACGGTGATCATGCTGGGAGAGGATGGAAGCAACGTGAAGAAAACTTAAACAGCACTTACAGACCCCGAAGTGGCTGGGGAGCGTTAATTTAATCACTTTGTCAGTTCTCAAGACAATATAGTATCATACGGAATTCCTGATCACTTGGAAATCCTACTATAATGAGCTCAAAGAGCCATGAATGAAGGGAGTAAGAAGCCCATGCTAAGTCTTATCTTCAGCTTCTCCACTTAAATACTTGTCCTTTAATATGGTTGCTTATGGGCGAATTTAGTAATACAGCAGAGAATGATAACAAACTCAAAGAAGCTCTCTCATCTTTTCCTGATTGTTCCTGGCCGGTTGGTGAACACATGATTGCATTCTTGTAATCAACTCTATGACATCAAGCTGGCAACTAGCACTCTTCCCTTCACAAGCTACAAAAGCCGAAAAGATAACCTCACTACCTATCCTCCGACTCGAGACTTGAGAACTGAAGTGTGACCTGTTTTCAGACGTCCTGTACGCCGTACGCAACACAGTGCAGAATCGGTACTGACTTCCATGAAGTCTATGCCTGTGCTCCCCCGCGACTAGCATGCTGAGCCCAGCGTGGGCAGCACCTGCCAGTTCTCCGATGTCAATGCTTCTCGCTGGATTTGGCCAAACAGCACAGGCTTGGAAACCGGGGGAGGTATCTCTGCTGCACGGTTCTTCTTGACGAAACCACACGGAAGGATATCTAAGACGTCCCTGCACATAGAAGGCAAAAGGCCCTCCCCTGCCAGTTGCAAGACTTCCTTGTCCTCTGGCTGAAGCCGAGAAAGATCATTGCGGCATCGCTGCTTCTCACGAAGCAAACACACGATGTCGACAGCAAAGCTCAGGTTCTGCGGTGTCGGGTTGACGACCTGCCGCGTCGGGCATTTCTCCCATCTGACAAGGTCGTCGTGGGCTTCGAACATGATAGCAACGTCCTCATCGGAATAGTCATCGATCCAGAAGCCGCATGGCCGTTGAACCGGTAGCAGAGCTAGTCGCTCCCTACGCCGTCGTGCCCAATCCGATGCGTTCCTGTTGGTCAGGACTACCTTTGCCAGCGGAAACTGCTCAACAAGATCCAGAAACAACTCTGGAAAAAGAACTGTCCGTGACGTAGTGTACAGTCGCTGGTAGCTGGCTACAGTCAAAGCTGCGGATGGTTTCACGACAGCGAGACGAGTTGCGACGATACAATCCATCAGCCAGGCCGGCAGTGAAGGACAGGAGCTCACCCTTCTTGCCATTTTCATTTGCCGAACCACTCGCCCAGTGGTACCCATGCAAATGCAGTTCTTCCAAGGTTTCTGACAAGGTGTAGCTGTGGTCCCCTGGCCCGCGCCGATCACTGATGGGCTTGGCCTTAGGGATGCTCAGGGACAGTACCTGGTTCAGGCTCATCCATGTTGTTCGTGTACTTTGAAAGAGCATCTTTGTAGCCCTCAACCCTCAAGGAGCACATAGGAGCGCTGACAAAACCTGCACTTCTTTGCGTCAAAGCTGCCGTTGTGGTCTTTGAGAAACTACTTCGACCGCAGCGTTCTCGGCCAATACCTTCCGGAACACAGCTCTGAACCTTGACAGTTCGGTTCACCTAAGCCTAAACCCTTGGCCCCCCCAATATGAGAAACCCCATGGCGGCCCGCTTTTTCTTATGTAGTTTGCCTTCACGGCATCCATCTCCATGAGGAAGAAGGACTTCTCCCGTGAGCATGGCCGACATGATGCTCGTGAACACCGTGTTTGGGCCCTGGACCCAATGCCTTGCTTCGTTTGGTGGCGCAATGAAGAGCTGGCAAGCAAGTTCAGTAGAAATGGCTCCACGGCTCAGATGAGAGAAACCCTGAAGCCTGATGGGTGTTCAGGGACGAGGCTTTAAGTCTGAGGACTCCCGAAAGGAGCATAACTCCTGGAAATCTGAACACCTCAAAGCGTCACCCAACCTTAAAGCAGCCAACTAAACACTACCTACGAACCCTCAACCCAAAACACTAAACATGCTGGGCGCCAGACGCAGGATCGGCGCGCGCCAAGCCTCCGAGCCGACTGCGAAGCCCTCGGGGTGTCAGGTTTGGCTTTGGGGGGCTTGAGGGGGTCTAGGGATATATGCGCCCGTGCTCCACGTTGCGGCCCTCTAGACCCAAAAAAAGGACCAAAAAAGGGGGGGGGGTTCCCCGATCCAGGGTCGATTTGCTGGCAAGTGCCAGCAGCTCAGGATGTGGCGCTCGTGGCAGCTGCTGTCCAACAGGCAGAGGGTAGGCACTTTGGCCGTGCAGCAACTTCGACCTCGCCCAAACCTGTGTGGTCGGGCATGCTTACCCAACACTCGGGCCGCAACATAGACTTTCTAAGCATCTATGCACGACGTGCCAAGTAACTGGCTTTGGGAGGTCCCTAAAGCCCTGATGCCTGGCCTTCCTGCCTCTCTAAGTCCGCAACAAAAACCGGTAAGCAGCTGCGGGTCACCATGGCCAGAAGCCGGTCAGAACCATGCAGAACCCAAAACACTAGGATTTGGGAGAGAAGGTCAAAGCTTTTGACTACAAGGCCGATGCTTCATAGGTTTTACATGGTTTTACCATAAAACCATGTATTAACAAAACACAGCCTGCATTTGGCCTTACATCCCGAATAGAATGAAAATAGTAGAATTCTGTAGCAAACAAAGCCATCACCGAAACTGAAAGCTTCTCCCTGTGTCCCTTGCCACTTGTTCCCACTGCTCGGTGACCTCTGCGTGTCCAACAGCGAGACGATCGATGAAGGGAGCTATATAGGGCAGTGCAGTCAAGGGCTTTAATTTGTAGCTTGGGCCCTAGGTGGGTTTCTGCAGTGGAATACGTGAGACCATTGAAGTAACACATCTAAACAGCTTGATGGTGAGGTACTTAGTTAATTGGAGATTGTACAATATGTCTGATCTAACGGCTCTATAGGCTCTTAGTGCTCATGATGCCCAAATGCGTCTTCATGTCTCGTGAAGGGCTGGTAGGACAACAGAGAACGCTGCAACACACTTCGGTGAAGGCAGCCGTGTGTGCTCTCTGTGTAAAGAAGCAGGCAGGAGGGTTGGTTTAAAACCTGTTGCAGGATCGAGCTTTGCCAACGCCCTTGGGGTCAGTTGGAGCTCAATGCTTTGAGCAGCTTACGATTCAGATGCCAAGACCGACACTCCCATACGGATAGTCTCTCACGTTGAACACAGTTGCATTCCTGGAGTCTGACCGGCGCATGTAGAGAACCCAGTTGAACACATTGCTGGCGCGATCTCCGATGAAGATGTCGGAAGCAGACATCACTGTGAGCTCAGCAAAAAACTTCAAGAAGTGGCTGTCCAAGTCATGCGTAACATCCTTTTTCAGGTCCCAACCATGCGCATTCTGAATGTAGCAGAAATCATGGAATGTCAGGCTGGGAGCCATGCCCCGCAACTCCTCCAGAACCGAGCAGTCATCTGTGCCGACGAAGACATCACGAATGTCGCTTATACCCTGGAAGGACTGGAGCGTGTCGATATAATGCTCTAACGGTACTGCACTTCGGTTTTCAACTGTGATCTTGTCGCCTCTCCTCACCATGATGGAAAAAAACCTTTGTGGTAGCCCCAGCTGGCGGACGTTGCCACAGACCTCCTGCCGCACGCTGGGTAGGAACTGCCAGTACCTGCGCAGAAATGTCCGTTTCATGTTCACTCGCCACATGGTCTCTGAGCCTATGGTAAGCTGCGGCATGCCCGCAAACTTACGCACCTCCTTCGAGCTGATGGGCATGTCCTCAAAGGGTGATAGCGGCTCTGACGATCCAATGGGCTGAAAGTACCGTAAATACCAGCTGGGGTGACTGCCTTTCAACCTCGTCTCACTTTCATCCAGGAAATAGGCTCGTTCTCGTTTCTGTGCATACATGACTGAGGCGAGAACTCCCAACAGTGAGGAGCATGCTCCACTTCCAGGCAAGAGTTGTATGCGAAATGCTGGGGACTCTTGGGAAGGAGACCTCTGCACGTATGGCACGACTTCAGCCTCCTTGCACCACTCAAAGCGATGAGTGACCTCCTCTTCCTTCGTCTGCATCTGCAGCATGGCGACGTCGTCCTCCAAGGTGCATGTTGCACCTTGGCACGCCAGCAGAGCCCAGCCAGCGAGCAAAAGGCGCCTCGCAAAAGGGCGCGGCTTGGGGTTTGGCTGTTGACGGATAGAGTTGATGTCTTTGAGGTGAACAATGGGCTTCGCAGTACAGTATGGGTCTGCACAGAACTCTGCAGAAGTATGGCTGACTTCACAGCAAAAGGAAACTAAAGCAACATGCCAGCCCTCCCCCCCCGGCCCTGCCCCTTGCCCCCCTGCCGCCCCCCGCCCGCACTGGCCGTGCGCGCATATACCTCCCTTCGCCGCCTGCGCTGGCCGCGCGGCCCGTGCCCCCGCTGCCCCTGCGCCTGCGCCGGCTTCGCCGCCTGTGCGGTGGTGCGCCCATTCACGCGCACCGGCTCGCGTGCGCCGGTTCGTGTGCGCATTGTTCGTGTGCGCTGGTTCGCACGCGCCGGTCTTCGTGTGCGCCGGGATGCCCCGGCCAGTGCGATGGTGCGCCGGCGCGGCGGTGAGCCGGCCGGTGCGGAGCCGCAGGCACGACAGTGCTATAAGACCTGCAATCCAATAATTGGCACATTTGGTGATAATCTGAAGCCACGAATTTGTCGTTCCCTATAGGGGCTACAATTACATCTTGTTGAATCACAAGGAGAGGGTAGAGAGGGTAGCGGGGGGGGGGGAGGATCGCGAGGAGGTGAGGCGAAGGGGGTCGAAGGGAAGAAGGGGGTGCCGGGCGCAACCGTATATAACCTAAGCCTGTCTGCTCTTCTGCATTGCCAATGCACGCCCAGGCACCAGTGCAGGTTCATGGTCGCGGTTCGGTGTACGTAACAAGAGCACTAAGCCAAAATTCTGCAGGCGTCAGCAAAGCGTGCTTACATGCAAAGCCCTTTCTCTTGCAAATGCTTTGGAAGCCTTGGCCTCCTAGCCTCTGACCTTGTTCTCTACTTTGGCAATGTGTCGTTGACTGGTCTCTGGTTGCTGTGAAAAGGAAAAGACCGAATGATTTGCGATTGCTGGTTGAGCATGAGGCGATGGACAAGGCGGAGCGCGTTTTGGTGCAGCAGCTTTGTTGCCGCAGGTGTCACGACTGGCCTGCGCGCTCAGGAACCAGCCTCAGCCAGGAATGTGACCATAGAGAGAGGACGAGCATAAACATAGCAACGTAGAGGAACTTCTACAAAGTTCAAGGTTCCAAAAGCACAAATCAACTTACTTTGCTCTCAAGGGCCCTCTCATATTGAACTGGTCATCTTCATACTTGGGTATCGGGCCTTATCAAAAGTTCAGATAAGGTCAGTATTTCGGGAGCAGCGCGCTATCAATGAAGCTCACGGCTGCATTTGCTGCAGGATCAAGGACAGATAGTTTGAGACCCTGCAAAGCGCATTTGAATCCCCGGCGAGCGCTGCACGTGCTGCGCCGCGACGTTCAGCATGCGTGCGGTCTCGCAGGCCTGCATGGGGCATGTGGTCGTGCTGCGACTCGTCCACCTCGACCACGCGCACGCCCCAGGACCGGTACAGCACGAAGTCCAGGTGGGCCAGGCTCGTGTTCACGGGGCGAGACTCCCCCGGGCAGGGCGCGTCACGGGCGGAGCAGAAGTCCACGCGAAGAGTGGTTCGCGTAAGCCCTTTCAGGTGAATGAAAGCATGTCGGGCGGGTTGGTGGAAGCGGCATGGGGGACCACGCTGCCATCTCGTGCCCGTCGTGTGCTTATCACATCGCCATACTCTGATATGCAAGATGTATGCTTCATCGCCCACTGCACGGTGCCATGCACGTAGTCCGCCAGCATGCCCTCGGCTTTTATAGTTTCCGGATGTGCTTAAGGCCTTCAGGGTTCATGACCTTGTTTGCAATCCTAGCCCTTAAGGAAGCGGGCCAGATGTGCTTGCTGGGTTTAGGTGCAGGCAGCAGTAGTAATTTTCACATAACGCAGCTGGTACTGCTCAGCGATTCATCTGGAAAGCTGGCCGTATAGCTTTAGAAAGCTCTGGCCGCATAGCTTTAAAACACCAGAAAACGTACGAGTAGAGTGTGACACTCCACATATACACTCACCCATCTATTTTTAAGGAACATTGTATACACACGCCACAAACTTTTGAAAAGATCCTCCCTCGTATGAGCCAAGCATGCACCCCAAACGTCTGAGATCAAGCAAAGTCTGCCCAAGAACCCGGCTTGTGACCAGAAATCGTGCTGAATTTGCTGCCCTCGCAGGCGACAGGCTGCAGCAACACAGGTCGCACAAATGTCACTGCATCGGTGCAGATGCGCTACAGGCCTTGAACGTCGGGCAACCAAGTACGTCAGCCTGGAGGCACTCAGAATCTCTTTTCTTGGGGGGGCTATGCTTGGGGTTCTGCCTTTCAAAACTCAGGTCTGTTATGTCAAGGCTTTTTGCCTTGTCACGGCCAAGCATCAACCTGCATTTACCGCGAGCATCCCCTCCCTAACATTCTTTGGTTGCGGGGCATCATCAAGTATTTACGGAAACAAAACAGAGCATGACCAGCAATGTAAAGCTCAAAGTGGCATGTCAATCGGGAAACATAGCGATGCTGCAGGGGGTCTCAATTCAAACAACCCCACTGTGAGGGTGGGGAACATCTGTGGTAAACCATGCCATTATCCCGGCACTGTCGTATAGTCAGTGTTACTCAGCACATAAGACATAGTACAGCAAAGTACAGTATACGATATCAAGCACACCTTGTCATTCAAATGTCAGTGCGCCTGATAGCTGATACGAAAGAGAAACTCGACAACATGCTGCGTGTCACAGAAGGTCTGATGGTAGTGATTGCACCCGTCATTGCACACACCGCTTTGAGTACCGCGCGTTGGTCCACGGTCAGGGCAGCGCCGTGCACAGGAAACAGATTGCATGGGCGTCTCTGTAGCTTGTCAGCTTTTTACTTCACTGTGCCGTGGAGCCGTGATGCCCTTGGACAGGTCATGTGGTTCAAGGTCGATCCTGACTGGGAGGCGTGAAACGCTCTATTTTTTTCACGAGATCACATGTTTGCTGGCCGTCACCAAGAGCCCGGAATGGCTTGCGACTCAAGTCGCCCCAGCCCCAGCTGTGGCGTTCAGGAAACTTTCAAGTGTGCTGCCCCCTTCCGCCCTCCCTTAAAATCACAACCCTCTAGGAGAGAGGCTGGCGCGCTAAAAGACCATAATAGACCCTACACCTGCAACCCAAAGCCCTAAACCCTAAACCCCCGTGGGCCTGTCGTCGCTGCTCTTGACTCCCTCACGGCGCCTCCGAAAGCCGGCGAAGGTGTGGAGTGAATGGGGGCTTGGAGCTTTTTGGGGTTTCGGATTATAGGGTTTTGGGGTTTTGGGGGTTTTAGGTTTAGGGCTGCTTCTTTTCTTGTTATGGCACAAGTCTAGATGGCACGCGGACGAAAGTCCACGTGTCTCTCACCAACAAATTACACTCCCAGAAGGTGGCACTTGGGCATTGCGCGCATCCCCCGTCACAGCATATTTCAAAGTTCCTGGCCGCTGTCGGTCTTCCTAATCCCCCACACATTTTGGGTTCATGTAAGGGTTAGTTGCCATTGAAAACCACCCCCAGAAAACATCACGAACATATTAGTCAGACAGACTTGTGGCAAGCTGCAACGGTCACCCGGACGCTGAAACTAAATGCAGCCTAAACCTTATACCTGCAATCGCGGATGGCTGTCTTTTTAGTGAGAGATGCATGAGTATGCGTCTCACAGGAGCGACACGCATGACAGATTAAGGCATTATGCGAGCAGGCCCTGCCGTGAATGCACATGTCCGGACGGCGTGCCAATGTAAACGACAAGAAACGTAGAATGTCGTGCGCTAGTAGTGCATCTTTTCAGCGGGAGGACGGTAAAGAACAAGAAGGGCGCCTTGCAAGGTGCTGTTGATTTGAAATCAGAACGCCGTCTCACTGCGCGCCATCTCTGGGGATCTGGAAGTAGTCCTTTTTTGACAGGCGGCGCACGCAGCAGCCCCAAGTAGCTTTAACCAGGTATCTGTCACATCATGGCAAGTGGACTGGCAGCTCAGACCACGTGCACTTGTGTCAAACCGTGTGTGGTATGTTATACGCAAGTGCCAGCAGCATTGCTGCCGCGTTGCATGCATGTATGAGGCGCTTTCGATATGGCGCTGCTTCATGTTGACATCTTGCATCAGCACGCACGGGCATCCAGCTATACGCATTGGCCGAACGCCACTTGCTCCTGACTTTCTTCACACCACAATCCTGCGGCCGCTGTGCAGAAGGCGTAAGAGGCTCCATGTTTTCGGCAGTACGTAGCAGAATGCGTATCACCCACCACATCGACGTCTGGAGTGTCAAAACAGACGAATTTTCCATCAGGAAGGAACACCTTAATCTGTCAAAGAAGGTTCTACAATTCAATGATCATCTCGGCGGGTGGAGACATGAAAAGGTAGAACCGAGAGACGAGCACAATGCAAAAGTGAACACTTTTATGCCCAGACCGCTCTTGAGGACCACAGCGGGTGACGCATGAACCCGTTTTGGAAACAAATGGTCAGGTTGAATGTTTAGGAGGAGCACCCACCTGAGACAGCCGGAGCTGCGCCCATGCCATTGCGAACGTCGCCCAGCAGACGCACCGAGCCTCCATCAAACTGAGGGCTGAAGAACATCATTCTTCATTTCTGGGAGTTTGGGGAACGCACTCCGACCACTTTTAGAACGCATTGCATGCTTCTGGGGTCACTACGACTTCGGACGAATGATCTCTGGCTAGGCCCCTGGGCGGAGGGCGATTCAGAAACCAGCTACCAGGATTACTGCTGCACTTTCTGAAGAGAAAACGCACACACACACACACACACACACACAGAGACACAGACACAGACACAGACACAGAAGCAGACTCAGAGTCACACACGCACTCACACACTCACACAAACACACACTCACTCACTCACTCACTCACTCACTCACTCACTCACTCACTCACTCACTCACTCACTCACTCTCTCTCACACACACACACTCGCACTGACCATCACACTCACATTCGCACTCACATTCGCACTCGCACTCACACTACAGGCAAACAGAGGGACAGCCGCTGATGCCTTCTGCACAGGTGCACGCGAAACTCGTCGTCATTTGGATGACGAGTAATAGTGTCACACTCGCTTCGGAGTTCAGGGCAGCTGTCAAAAAGGATTCATGAACCACTCATGATTAAAGGTCGCCTGGTGCCAAAAGAGGAAAGTGAAAGGCGGCAGGCGACTTCCCAACCCGCATCTCCTTGCGCTTCTTAGATCCACGAATGTGCCCGAACACCCTGGCGGCGCAAAGCGTTAAACAATGCGTAGCTGTCTGCAAAGGTGCCGTTTACCCGCCTACCCCACCACTGCTGCATAAGCCCATGCACGTGGTGCTCGAAGAAGAACTCCTGCTGCTCAACAACGCACGCAAACTACTGCAAATGTTATGTGGAAGGGGTGTTCTATGGTGTTCTCAACACTTGTTTTTCATGTTGTAGGTTTCCCTTAGGCGTGCGTTGCAAGTTGTAACACATGGTTGCGTGCCGTGGTTCCGCCTAGCTTAAGCCTGCACTAAGACTCGTCACTATGACAATGAAAGAAACATGATTTCACACAGAACGACCAAGTCTCTTTCAAGTGTCCGGGATTTTGGATAAGTTGCTGCGCCAACGGTAGCTCAACTTCAGGGGTATCAATATCAAGCTTGAAGGCACAGAAGTCGTCAGGACCACACATCTCATGAATCCTGGTCACCGGGTTGTTCGCTGAATTCGGGTCAGCTGTCACGGGCACACCGTTGTAGAAGGTGAGTCTGGGTTCCCAAACTTGACGAACATCAGCCGCTGTACCATTCCAATACGACTCTTCGTCTTGCTTCTTGACTTCCCAAACATAAACCTCATCAAAAGCCAACCCACGCTCCGCATACTTTGTGACAAAGAACTTTGTAGCAGTCGCGAAGCGGGATCCGCCAGCATCAAAGAGAATGCGTCGGGAATTGGGATGCTGTGGGTGACTCATGTTGTCTGCGAGAACCAACCAATCAAGTGAGCCCAGCATTGGTCCATGTTCAGATTGGCAGAACACTCGCGGGTCCCTCAAAATGCCGGCCAGGGGTTCGATCTGTTGCGGCAACTGACCTGTCCTCGAATCGGCATGCTAGCTGCTAGCTGCTACAAAGAACACCTATATGTTTAGGGAAAAGGCGCCATTTTGGGAATGAACCGATCCAGAACACAGGATTCAGCACTGTGCCTAGGGTGTAAACCTTTCAAAATGACCCCTTTTCCGGCCATCACTTTTGGCAGGTGGTATGCTAAATGCTGGAGCGTTCCAAAATGACTCCTTCTTGCGCGTTCTAAAATAACCTTTACTTGTGCCACACCCCGTCGTGGAGTCGCAGAGGAAAGAAATGTTTGCACGCTTCTCTTTTGGCTGTGGAGGTCGGGAGCGTTTGTCAAGGTGGAGGCTTTTTTGCCGCGGAGGCCGGGCGCGCTGTTTCTTTTTGCCTGTGGCGCCCAGGGACAGGAGGGGCGCCCCCCCCCCCCTCCCCCCTCCCAACCCCCATGTCACACGCGGTTTTATTTCACGTCGCGCGAGCTGGGCGGGACTGCACCCGAACCCGACATCCTTTCTTTTTATGTCGGGTTTCGGGTTGCAGCCGGGGCGAGGTCGCACGACGACTTTGAAAACAACCATGTGTGGCGGGCGGGTCGGGAGGTGCGCCCCTTATGTCCCCCCGCGTGGAAACAGCACGATCCGAGCAGCAGCCACTGGAGAAGCGTGAAGACGCCCACGGCCCACTCAAATGAAGAACTTGGAATCCCGGAACAACCCGAAGCCAAACTTCTGATCTTCCGCTCTCCGATCTTGAGACCCTTTAACCTCCTCAGTACCAAGACCCTTAAAACGAAAAGTCACAACACTCCGCTAGATTTAGGGTTTCGGGCTTCGGGGTTTTGACACTTTGGGACCCATGCAGGGCTCTAGCCGCCTCCTTAGAAAAAGCCGCGGCGGTTGTTCTAGTGCGGCCTCTCGCCGACGCCTTATTGAAAAAGTAGCGGTTGCTCTGCCCAGCATCGTAGAAAAAACACTTTAGAAAAACCTGAAAACCCATCGGCTGTTATTTCTAGCCGCCGCTTTGGAAAAAAACAGCGGTTGTTCTAGCCGCCGCCTTGGAAAAAGAACTTTAGAAACACCGCGGCTTTTTCCAGCAGCGTTAGAAAAACCATGTTAGAAAATTCACCTCAGAAAAATCCGCATAGCAAACAACACTTCAGAAGAAGCATCGAAATGAGACCTAGCACCTCAGCAAAATCACTGCAAGGATGCAGGTTTTGACATCAGCCTTTTCCAAAATGACACTTTTCAGCGTTCCACTTGTCCGGGTTCAAAATTGACCCCGTTCCCGCTACTGCAGTAGCTGCAGTAGTTCTGCACGAAGAAACGCAGAACCGAACCTGAACAGCACAGCCTGCTTTGTAAGATAGCCGAGGCACCTGCAGAACTTCGAGAAGGGATCTTTCAAACCGTCCGTCGCCACGGCTGCATTCATGTTCATGTCGATCCACAATGCACCCTCAGCCCCCAAGGCCTTGCAAAGAGTCTCGTTATCTTTGGTAAGCTCCAGTGGGTCTTGCGCGAAGGACGCCTCCAGCGAGCTGCTGATGTAACCGTCTTCCACGCATGCCGGGCCAGACCCCATGGAAGACATGCGACCACCCCGCGCATTCGGCGGCACGCTTGACTTGCGCGTCCGAGAAAGCTCTCCAAGTTGAATGACGGCACTCTCATCGGCGCAGCTAGAGGCAGCCGCCAGGCTGGCAGCCCAAGCCGCGACAAGCGCCACGAGTAAGGCCATGTCCGATAGCACCCCTTTTAGCCACGTGAGGGCTGTGACACTAAAGGATGTGTGTTCGATAACGCTGCAAGAAATTGCGGCTGCGGCGCACATCGTCGCAATAAGTGCCGGAGCGAGCCGAGCCAGCCTCATCCCCCAAAGCGCAGTATGTCTTTCCCCCCCGCACCCCTCCCCGCGTGCCTGCAATGGACGATCGGCTAGACTGCCGAGGGGCTCCTCACAGATTCGGCAGGTCAAGCGAGGCAAACGGCAAATCGACCATGTGTACAAACAAACTGTACGGGCATGGGATACCCCTCCAGCACATGCACTGCTAGCGTGGACAGTATTCCTCGTACAGGCGAGGGTGCACTGTGCAACGGATGCACTGCACAGGAGCGGACGCTTTCATCGCACGAGCACAAGTGCTCACAAAATGTGCTGGCAGCACAAACCTCTGCCATCATCACACGAGACATAGATAGCGGCTCCTGCAGTGACGTTTAGGCTGTTGGGGTCTTGGGGGGTTCGGGGTGTTGGGGGGGCCTTCCAGGGTTTTCCAGGCTTGAGGATCTTGGGGATTCTTCGGAATTTCAGGCGTTAGGCCTTCTGGCTTCACGGTTCTTTTGCACTTCTCCATGCATCTTTTGCACTTCTCCATGCATCACACGCGTCTCTGGGATGGTGCGGTCTGTTGCATTCAAGCAAGTAAGCTACCTCACGCGACAGAAGGCTTTTCTCTCCGTCGAAAACGTGAGAAGTGGAGGTCGGGCCACAGTTGGCTGTACAAGCGAGGGGACAAACTGTTTCTGTGGGATTTGTCAAAAATGGCGGTGGAACCTCTTCAAAGACCCTACCAAGGGCGAGGTAGGTAGTTTACTGGGGGATGGTTGTCTCAAAGGATTTCGCGGGATCCAGGCTAGAGTTTCGGGTTAGGGCTCACAGCAAAGTCTTGAACGGCTAAGGCTCAATACAATAGGGTTCTCAGCTGACCACAATAACTCGACAATGCTGGCAACTCACCTTACACAATGACCCTGTGCCCGTTGACAAACACCCTGGTTGGTATTGACTGGGAAAGCCCTCTGCACCGCGAGCTCTTCACGGGCTCGTAGCGAGTGCTCCAGAGGTGGGAGGCCCAGCCCCATGTCTCCCTCACAACTGTGACAGGGGCCAGGAAGCTGCATGTAGCTTCCTTGCTGTTGGACCCGAAAACATGCCATGGCTTTGTGCCAGGGGCGAAAGTTTCAAAGGACATCACCAAACAGCTCCACTCAGGGTTGCCCTGAACTAACTGAATCCTTGGGATTTGCAAGGGTCACGAACTTTGGAAACACATAGAACAGAATCCCATTTAAAAGAATCCCCAAAGAAAGACGCCAATTAGAAAACATCTGCGTGACAGTGTTATGAGCCTGGACCACTAGGGCTAGGAGTGCGAAGGGCTGATCCAGACGCACACCCTTTCTGCGTGGAGCGATGGCGGCATGCTGGGAGCGCTGCTGCGTGTCAGCAGGCCGAGGAATATGTGGTCGTGCGTGGGCAAATGCCACACAGGACTGCCGCCAGCTGGGATTTAGGATCTATGAGCTGTATTACACAGCCTTGGTAGGAGTAAAGCAACCGTTCCAACTGGCAGCTGGAAGGATGAGGCTGATCCCTGGCAAAAGGTGGGCCAAGTGCCCACAAAGTCGAGGTTGGACCTCTTAGGATAACGCAACCGCCACGACAACAAATGGGAAGGCAGGCTTTGGGATTGCAAGGATCCGCCACGAACATTGTCTATATACAAAGACTTACAGGGGAAGTCTCCCGGTGCAGCTTGAATGGAACCTTGGGGTCACCAAAAAGCGCTTGCAGCAGTTGTATACAATGGGGGTGGGGGGGGGGGGACTCGCACCACCGAAAGCCTAAATTCAAACAAAACAAAAGGACGCCTAGCCGAGCAAAGAACAAGTGAGAAGCGGCGACTGGGGCAGCCAAGGGACAGCAAAAGATCTGACATCTGAGCTCATCGTCGCCCGTGATTCATGCTCATGCCCAGATCGTTCATCAAGTGCTGTCCATGCTTCGTTCTCCTGGCAAGGCAGGCGCTCAGCGCTCGGCCCCAAAAGACGGACGCGGGGCAAGTGGGTAAATTACGGGCTAAACGTTACCTAATTACCTGTGCAAAGACAGGGCAAACCTTCAAAACCCTCAAGGCTGCGGACCTTACACTTGGAAACCCCAAACTTTATGTTCCGCGCCGCAGATGCCAGGCTGCGTCGCAAATCCTCAGGGCGTAAGCCCTAAACCCAGGACCTCCCAAAACCGCAAGACACTCTTTCAGCGAAAAAAGACCCTAAGCACTCACTCAAGCAGGCTCGCCTGAGCTCGCCGACGCAACTCCGCAGCCGAGACACTGCCGCAGATCGATCTGTATCCTAGAGAAGGTTAGTTTAGAGTTTGGTTTTAACGGTTGTTAGGTTTCAAGGCTCTGGGGATTTAGGGCTCAAGCTTTAGGCTTCAAGGGGTATGAGGTTTCCAGGTTTTTGGACTGGAAGGTCTTAAGGCTCAGGGTTCAAGGGCTTATCGGGGCCTGGAACAGAGAAGAAACGATTTGATCAAGCCCCGAGCCTTGGACCTGAGGAACCAAGACCTGTTCCAAAAGGTATCCCCTTTGTTTTCCTTTTACCGCACTCCCCCAAAGTGCAGGAAGGTGCCAACAAGGGTTTTGGGGTCTATCCCAAGCATCCAAAATCTTCATCTTTGTAGCTTGTTGTTTTCATCTCCTAAACAACCTGCAAAACTAACCGGAACCCTAAACCTAGAATGGGTCAACTCTACGACAAGGTCGGCGCAGCGTCTGGGTGTTCCACCACGGCCCGGACGACATAGCAGCCGTACCTGCGCCAGAGTTTAGGGCTTAGGGTTTGGGGGCGGGTGGCCGGCAAAGGTGGGGCTTCGAATGCTGCCTACCCGTTTTGGGGGTACCAGCTTTCCACATTATGGCGTCCAAACCTCCCCCCCACCCCCCCACCCCAAACCCCAAACAAGAAGCAACTCAGAAGCACCTGCCTTGACAAAGCCAATTCTTCCAAAGACTCCGTCAACTCGGCGAGCCTGAGATTTTAGAGTGAGAAATGAGAAATGTAACAGGGTATGTGAGGATTATCGAACCTTACCCCTGAACCTTAAGCGCAGGCGTCGGCTGCGAACCAAGAGGCCTACCATGAGTGGCATGTCATGATTTGGGTTTTTGGTCTGAGTGTGTGGGGATTCTCACAGATCCCGGAGAGCCGTTTGAGACAAGCAGCAGAGAGTGCTGGTAGTTTGGCGAGCAAAAAGACAGGACCTTCTCCACGAGGTAGCCTACGGCGGCTTGAGAACTGCAACCAGAATCGAAGCGAAAGCTGATCTCACGAAGCGTCTGCATGAGGCAGGGGCCAGACCGGCCACGCATCGGACAAAACCCTACAAAACCCTCCAACCTTAACACATATACCTTGGAATGTTCCCCCTTATACTAAGAGTCCTAAATAGGGATTATAATGGGGGGTGTACTGTAATCCCTGTGGGGGAACATCCCAACGCATACCAAGGCCCTGAACCTTGGAAAGCCAAGGCAGGGCAGGCGCCACATCTTGTCGGCCCAAGAGGCTTGCATTCTGGTTCTGAGCGAAGCCCATGGGATTCCTGGGTTGCTAGGGTTTAGGGTATAGGGTATAGGGTTTAGGGTTTAGGGTTTGGGGTATAGGGTATGAGAGGATTAGGCATTTTCGGATGCTATCAAGGCTTTTACCTGTACGAGGAGGATGCTTTAGTGCAGATTCGAGCGACACGCCAAGCACAAGTGAGAGCGCGTAAGCTGGTGTGACCTGACACAAGCAGTACCTCCAAACCATAAAGCCCAAGTTTCGAGCAAATCGTCTTTGCCACGGCATCGCGGTGGCAGTCGGTACCATGCTCCAGTACGGACTGGGCAACCTCTACACACAAGCAGCTACTCATTGTGCTCGGATTTCGGTGTCGGGGTTTTGCTTGCAAGAGCCCAAGCCCCAGCCCCAGCCCCCCAATTCAAGAACTACACCAAAGAAATCAAGTCTTGCGCTGTACCCCTTAATCCTAAACAACCGGCCCTCAAGTTACAAGGCCTTCTTGGACCTCATATACAAACAAACAGGAACGAATCAGCGCTCTGAACCCTGCCTTCGTCTTGGGTACCCTAAATATGACTGGCCGATGTACATCCGGAACAAAAGAGGGACAACGATCTTAGTTTTTGGGACCTCACCATTTAGGACGTCGGAGGTCGTTGATGCCGAAGCGGCGTGGTGACCGAACGGATGACAACACAAATCCTCTGCTTCCTGCGCGAAGGACTTCATGAACTGTTGCAGCTTCATGCGTGGGCAGCTTCATGCGTGGTTTGGGGCTAGGATTTGGGGTTCACAGGGCTTAGGGTGCTTCTACTCCTGCGCGCCCTACAGCAACACCCTTGGCCCTCAACCTTAACTCACAAATGGAAAATTACCGGGCAACTAGGTTGTCCTCTAAGCTGACAATATTATGCGTTTGCAAAAGCAAATGATAGGATCTGATAGGAGAATAAATTAGAAGATCCCTTCAACCAACCCTGTTATCAAGTCGAAACTCCTTGCTGCAGGCGGGCGACGGCAAGTTTGAAAGGAGGTGTGGAGGGTGAGGAGGGGATGAGGAGGGGTGGTGTGGGGTGGGGCGGGACAGAGTGGTGAAAATGGCGGAGGCTTTGAGGCTTACCATAACCAAGGGTCTCTGCCTTGATTCCAAAGCCCTACAAGAGCTCACTCCACGTGGCTGGCTCGGCAGAGGGGGTCCTGAAGTACCTCGTCCACCAAGCGCAGGGTGCCATCTTGCGACGCGTAGAATTCAAGCCTGGCGCCGCGGGTTGTTCGAATAGGGGGGCGGGGGGGGGGGGGGGCTTTCAGGCTTGTGGCAGCCGACTGTACAATGGAAACACGTCCCAGCAAAGAGACCAAACTCTTGAGAAATGGACGGGCAGGCCGGAGAAGATTGGTCTTAGCGTCTGACACGGCAGGTGCATGCTGCGGTCAAGGGGCAAGCGGCAGAAAATACGGCATCCAAATCGGTGGCGAGCAAACTTCGACGCAAGGCCCTCCAGTTCATCTGCCACGAAGCTGCAGCTGTTCCATGTCCTTAAACTACTATTTGCTTAAACACCCCACATGAGAAAACACTCTTCCTTCTAAGGGTAGTAAAGGGATCACTTTTTTTCGGGGTTCTTAAGCAATTAGTAGTAGAAGGCTTTGGGTTTGGGTGATCGGCAAGCCAGAGCCTCGGATCTTGCAGAGATTTCAAGCCTAAGGACTGGAATAGTCAAGACGCACTTAAGGTCCTTTCCTTACACCTTCCACCCGTTGTTTCAGTCGGGTGCAAGCCCGAAGCCTTGCTAAAACCCCACATGCTGCCGAGGTGCAATTGGGTCACGATTTTTTGTGCCACGTAGTTGGCC